ATGTAATTGTTATTGCTATCAAGTTGACCTACTCTTTTTTTAAGTAGTTAAACTACAATATATGACTCCCTTGTCTGTGCAGCTCCATAATGTTTTCTTTCCTAAATTTTCCTTTTCTACTAAACATTTAGATTGTCTGGTTGCTTAGAAAGTTTGCATTTCTTTTCTCAGAGAAGAGGAAGGGCTGGACGTGTTCAGCCTGGTGAATGCTACCATCTTTATCCCCGATGTGTCTATGATGCTTTTGCTGATTATCAATTGCCAGAGCTTTTAAGAACACCTTTGCAGTCCTTATGTCTGCAAATCAAAACTCTACAACTTGGAAGCATCTCTGAGTTTTTATCTAGAGCTCTACAGCCACCAGAGCCTCTATCGGTAAAATTCATTGCACATTTCTGGAACTTGCTTTCAAATAATGATGGTTGTTATTTGAATATATTTCCCATGAAATGTATGTGTTGAACTTATGATATTCTGCATCAGTGTTGTTTTATTGAATTTATTATGTAGAATTAATTTCATTATGCAGGTTCAAAATGCTATTGATTATTTGAAGATCATTGGGGCCTTAGACGAGAATGAAAATTTAACAGTTTTAGGTAAAAGAACTATCGCATCATGGTCTTTATTTCTCCTGCCATTTTTTTATGAAAAGAATTTTCTCCTGTCATTGGTTTTCCCAAGCCTTGATAATGTATTATTTTGATTTATTTCAGAATTACTGCTGATATTGAATTGTTAATTTTCAGGGCACAAATTGGCAATGCTTCCTGTAGAACCCAAACTTGGCAAGATGCTCATTTTGGGAACTATCTTCAAGTGTTTGGATCCTATAATGACCGTTGTTGCTGGTCTTAGTGTAAGAGATCCATTTGTAATGCCATCTGACAAGAAGGATGTAAGTTTTTGTTATGATTACTGTTGATATTTCCTCCTCCCTGACTTTTCTGTCTGTTGAACTTGGATGTTCCTCTTTTTAAAAATGGTGGTGAATTTTATTAGTTTTGATAGTAAGTGAGACCAGTTTTCAATATATCCCTGGTAGGAAACTATACCACATTCATGAACCTATCTAGCATGCACTGTGTTGGTTGATTGGATTGATACCATTGAGTGAAGATGGCTTCATATTGATCTTTTTGGGGTGCTTATAATAGTTTGTTTTTCATATTGAAAATGTCAGTGCCTTCAATATTAACCTGGATCAATTATATCTAATCAGTATGTTAAAAGTCTGTTAAGTAGAGAGGATCTTTGAATTTAATTGTTTACTGTGTATGTTTATGCAGCTTGCAGAATCTGCCAAAGCTCAATTTGCTGCTCGTGACTACAGTGATCATCTTGCACTTATCCGGGCTTATGAGGGTTGGAGAGATGCTGAAACACAGCAAGCAGGTTACGAGTACTGTTGGCGAAATTTTCTTTCTTCGCAAACACTTAGGGCCATTGACTCTCTTCGAAAGCAATTCTTTTACTTGCTCAAAGATATTGGTCTGGTTAATAACAATTCTGAAACCTACAATACATGGAGTCATGAAAAGCATCTACTCCGAGCAGTCATCTGTGCCGGTTTGTTTCCAGGAATATCCTCTGTTGTGGTAATCCACTCTATCATTACTTTCAAATTGTTTGCTACTTCAATGTTTAGGTTTCACTTTTATTTATTTATTTACCTTTTGCCTACGCGTGCGGTGTGTGCCCCTATATCTATTGCGATGTCTTTGTTGAAGTTCAATTTTGTTTCTCATCATTTGCAACCATGCTCTCCTTTTTCAAAGTGATGCAATTAACTTCCCTTAATGGTTTGTTGATTATTTGAAACTTTTCTAATAACACCACATCATATCCTTTAATCCTCATCAACAAACAACAAAAAAATGTCATTTCATCAAATCTAATATTGCATTAACAAAAATGAAAGAGTAATTCCATATCAACAACAGGATAAGGATTTCCAATTCCAAAATCCCAAATGGATCTTTTCCACACTACAGCTGCATGTCACCTTCTTGATGCTCTATTCCTGTCAAAATTGTTTTTTATTTTGTTACTTTTCCGTAAAAATGCTGGCAATAACTTGATATTATTTTAGCCCCCATGCATCTGTGGGGAATTCTGTTCTATTAATATTCAGTAATATATGCATATTATTTTATATTCAAGAGTGTATTTCAGTATGCAAATATTATTCTCATCAAATATGGAGAAATATTGTCATGTTTTATTTATAAATATGTTGCAGTTTTACTGTGTAATTTTTTTAATGTGAGGTTGTACAAATTTTGTTTTGCAGAACAAAGATAAGTCGATAGCACTGAAAACAATGGAGGATGGTCAGGTTCTTCTGTATTCTGTAAGTTTCTCTTCAAATATTAGATGTTTTTGTCAATCCTTGTATTCTTATGGCCCAGTTTTAATTTGGGGAATATATAATCCATCGAATTTTTAAAATTTTGGTGCTGCATTGTGTAGAGCTCTGTAAATGGTGCTGTACCCCGAATTCCATACCCATGGTTAGTGTTTAATGAAAAGGTGAAAGTGAATTCAGTATTCCTTAGGGATTCAACTGGTATATCTGATTCGGTGCTTCTCTTATTTGGTGGGAATGTATCCAGAGGTGGACTAGTAAGTTCCTACCATATTTCCTCTTCACTTTCCCCCCTGGATCTGTTCTTGATTGTATGCACCAGGCGCTTCCTTTTGACTACTTATTGTGTTTTGGCATGTGATTCTTTTGACAGGATGGTCACCTGAAAATGTTGGGAGGGTATTTGGAGTTTTTCATGAAACCAGAATTAGCCAAGACTTACTTAAGCTTAAAGATGGAACTGGAAGAATTGATACAGAGAAAAGTAAGTTCAATACATATTTATCCATTCCTTCTGGGTATTATTTATTTGCGTAGTCACTATTTTTCCATCAATTTTCAGTCTCTCTACAGTCCTTGCATATTTACTTTATGTTCTGCATGTTTTGCCACAGCTTCTGGATCCCACATTGGAAACACAATCGCATACTGAGCTACTTTCAGCTGTTAGATTGTTGGTATCAGAGGACCATTGTGATGGTAGATTTGTGTTTGGTCGCCAGATCCTACAACAATTGAAGAAGGAAACAAACTCCAAAAGTGGTGGAGTTGGGGGTGATAATTCTAAAAATCAGCTTCAAACATTCCTTAACAGGGCTGGACACGAATCACCAACTTACAAAACAAGGCAGCTGAAAAACAACCAATTCCGTTCTACTGTCATATTCAATGGGTTGAATTTTGTTGGTCAGCCATGCAGCAGCAAAAAATTAGCCGAAAAATCTGCTGCTGCTGAGGCTCTTCTATGGTTAAAAGGGGATAGTCATTCATCTAATGATTTTGACCATGCATCAGTGCTTTTGAAAAAGAGCAACAAAAGTAGGAAAAAATCGTTTAGTGGTGCTAAATGGAGTTGATCTGCCCTTAAAAGCCCACCTTGGATATATTTGTCATAGGGTTATATATTGAGGAAGAACTTGTCCAGTTGAAGGCTTTGGGGCAATTAATTCAAGGATATTTCCGGTCATAATTTCAACAGCAACTGTACAAAGCTTTCGAGAGAACTTGAATGACAGGTACAGATCAGAGCCCGTGTTTTTGTAAAGGGTGATTGCATCCGGTCGTCTAGATTTGGGGCACAATTCAATACGAGCATTTTCCACAATTGCTTTTGGCTAATTTGGCCCAGAGCAGAGATTGACTGGCTGAGCAGCTTCAGTACTTGAAAATGAATTCTTATGATAGAGGTGTAAGCAGCTAAAATTTGTATACATATGCTGATGTTGCATTCTTTTTGCACTGCTCTTGCCGTAGTTATACTTTTCAGGAGGATTCACTTGCCACAATTCATTGGGGATCTACACATTTTCCACATTTTATAGAAGAGATATCTGTGTACTTTTAAATTCATCGTCAAATGTGGCAGTTGCAACATGTCAAGTTAATCAAGCCTGCTGATATAGAATATGTATTTAATATGAATGTAGCCCCAAGTCTTTTTTATGAGGTTTGTTATACCTGAGATGGATCTTTTGTGTACTGGTATTGTAAACTGTGGGAGGTAATTTAATCCAATGAATGTGGGATCAATTTTGATTTTCCAAATTTCGGTCTTTGATTAGAAAATCCATAGAATTGATTTAAATTGTATAATTTTTGGTGCCTACAATCGTGTACTACGGTAAGACAACTACAACAATGGGGCCCGCTTAAAGCAAAATATAGTATGTATGACAGTGCCTCAGATTCATCGTCTCGCACATTAAATTTCTATGGACGTTGAATGGATTATTTCTTATGTAATCCTAGCACAAGGTTCAAACGCTAACTTAGTATACGCCATTTCGTCCACATTTCACTACAAAATAGTTGGAAACATCCATTAATTTTTTTATTCTTCATGAGTCATTCTTTTATTATTATAATATTTCCATGATTTTGATTTCATTTTCTTAGATTTCTCGTCTGTTACCGGAAAATAAAGGGTTACGCGGTTAGCAGATGTAAAAAAGGCGCCTTCCAAGGAAAACACCCTAATTGATGATTTTGTGCATTTATTTATTTTTCTTGCTGGGTGCTCCTACAAATGTGAATTTTTTAGAGATAAATCAAGTGTATTGGCAATGATGATAATATAACTCGAGTGGCTTTGCAAAACTATTGACTAGTGAGTATAGAAATAGTAAATTGGAAGCTCTCGTGGTAACCGGAAGAGTAGGTTTTGAATTTTTATTTTTCAAAACCACTCCACATAAATTGTCACGGGTAAAACTCAGAAAAAGAACTAAACCTTAAATTCATTTCAATTCATCAATCTATCTCACCAACTCCACTTTTTGAAGTAGCGGGCGCATACTGTCCCATAGTAAGTTTGAATTTGAGTTCATGTTAGTCACTTCAGTACAAGCAACAGTTTTTTAGTTTTACACTTTTCACTTGCTACGTAAAATAAACTAATCGTCGTTTGCCATTGAAAGAGCACACAAAGAGTAAAAAATGCCAGCAGCAAACAACTTTTCTAATATTATCATTATTATTTTGCCAAGAGAACTTTTGGAAAAGAAAACCCATTATTTCCTAAACTTAATCTTTAGACCAACACAAAGCATAGACTAAAATGTTTGTTATTGCAAGATGTCCTAATGATTTGGGTCCATTGAACATCATTGCCCTTTCCATACAGAAATTTCGTTGCAGATGATGGCCTCCTTGTCCTTCATTCTGCAAGCAACTGGTTGAAAAACAATAGATATAAATACCAGTACAAGAGAAAAAATACTGCAATCAAAAGTGTGATCTGATCCTAACCGTGACAATACTACGTCTACACTCAGCTCCCATTCCAGCTTATTTGATCAAAAAGACAAACCGTACTTATTGATGCAATAGCTCAATGGCTTTCTGCAATGTAGGCCTAAACCTATCAACATCAAGCTTTACATTTTGTTTGTCCAAATACACTGACTTAAATTCTTCCCATCCTATCTTCCCAATCAATGGGGGATCCTTTATAAACATGTGATCTAGTGAGTATTGTTGTATCAGAGTGCTTTCTTCCAAGCTTATTTTGTATTCCAAGTACTTTATGTTCATATCCTTTGAGGGCTTTCCAAAGTCATTTGTGGCAAGCCAGTCCAATGCAAACCCACCTAAAGGCACAACTTGGATGAAAACTGCATTTTCTGGAAGGAAAAGTATGTTAGTGAGACCAGCACCATGAACTCCCAATAACACATCACAAGAATTCACAACATCGGCAAACCCCCACATGCTCCCCCCTGCTTCCTTAACAATGACATCAAAGCCCAAACTCTCAGCCATTTTTGCTATTTCATCTGTGTTAGTGAAGGATCTTGTTCTTTTTCTTGAAAGAATCATGAGCCTTGGCTTCCCAAGTTGACCATCTCTGATTTTGACTGCTTCAACTCTCTTCAATGCATAGGAACTTCTCAAAAGATCCCTGAAGTCTTTCATAGAATACGAGTACTTTTGAGGGTCAATACTTAGCTCTTCATGATGCCGTTTAAGACCCACAATCACCCTATGGAAGCAATGAAGTTCATCATCTCCATCGATGTCCACAATCTCATAGTTGGACAGCCTCTTAAGAAGTGGTTTGTACTTTGAAATCCACCAAGGACGCTTCTCAGTTATGATAAATTGTACTTCTCCATTGAATTGTCTAGAAGTCAAAAACAGTGGAATAACAATGTCGGTGAATTCATGGAAGTGGTTACCAACATACCCTCCAGTAGAAAATAATAACCCTGGAATGCTGTGATTTTTGGTGCATTGGGGGACTTTCTGACTAGCATTTACTGCCTTCACTGACCATTCTCTTACACGAATCATTGCATCTACATCGTCCTTTCGCGCATAAGGCTTTATAGTTCTTGACATGTTTTTTCCCTTCATGGTTGTGTTTGATGAAACAACGTAAACAGTTGAGGATTTTCCATGGACTCTGATATCTCCCCTTGCTTGGCAAAATTCTGTTCTTTCTTCTGAATTGTATAGTAGCTCCTCTGATATCTCCTCTTTTCCTTCAACTGCGAGATTAAGAATGATACCTTACATTATAAAGGCCTTTTGACAATCATTAAGACCAGTTTGGATAAACTTTTTCAGAAACACTTTTAGGAGGTAAAAATAAGAAGAAAAAGATAAAATAAATCCTTTCATAAGTTAAAATTAACTAAAGCTAATTTGTAGAAGTTCTCTCTCATATAGTCTCAAAGGTCTAGCTCAAATCATTCTATCTTTATAGAGATTTGACAAATTTTACCTTTATCCCTTGGTGGAGAACTGCCAGTGCCTTCAACTAGAATTTCACCTACAATGTCTTTCACTGTAGACCCAAGAATCATCACATCATCACAAGTTGTCAGAAATATAGAATCATTCGCCTCAACATACTGAGTGATCAGCATTTAAGATTGGTTTATTTATCTAAATTTCTAGGGACAGTGTCTCAATAAAGCTGATTTGAGCAAACTGTACTTGTGTCAACCTTGTTGAGATTGAGAATATCTTACCTTTGGCTAATTGTGAAGACCTGCTGGTGTCATTGAACATCAGCATTTTGGTGTCAGCACCAATGGAGAGCTTCAGGCTCACTGTATAGGAAAAAAATGAAGTTAAAGTCATACTCAATAGCTACCATATGAAATGATGGAATACATATGCATTTAATGCCAAAGTACACTCGATGCTTGTACTTGGTATTGGATTATGGAAATAGGTGACTAATGCAAGTTGGTAAAGAGCAATAAATTAAGCACTCACAAACATTCACCGGACCCAAGTAAGGTTTAAACAGAGTGCAAAGACTGAAAACTATGAGCAAGCAGCTCACAAATGCTCCGTATCCAAACCTTTTCTGCTCATAACGACTAAAGCTTTTGGCCAGTATTCTGTCGTACATTTTCTTTTTCTTATCACTCAACAACCCTTCTTTCTCTCAGTTCTACAGTGCCATGATCTCACAGATAGAAGCCATTTTGATCAACACCTCATTAGTGGATGACCATAAAAAAATTTCTACAAGTCCTCTATAGTTTGAGTAGTAGGCTAAGCAAGATTTGAGACACTTCTACATGACAAATGGAGGAAGGTTGAGGTGCATTTTATATTCAATGTTCCCCCCACGTAGTTGTTATATCTTGAATCAAGAGGATTCTCCAAAACTAATATTTAATAGCGAAGGAAAATGACTCTGGTTGACTGTTACGACGAAGAAACCTTTTTAATGATTGGTATTTGTGTTAGGTTATATATTTTTCACATATGAAACATGAACTGCCAACCGTGGAACCCAGCATTGAAAAGTATTAACCAACTAAAGCTTGCTTAAAATGTTGATATAATGATATCAATTATTGCAGTTCTCGGATCACCCTTAGTTACATAGCACCACTAACTATATTATTAGTTTATTACCTTACTTGGTGACACACATGTAGCCCTAGTGAAAATCTTACTTGCAGCATCCATGCATGAAAATAGTAGCTTAGTTAACTTGATGAACAAAAAACCAAGGACAAATTAACATTCGGTTTGAACTATAATATGATTGATATCCAAACAAAGTCATTGCATTAAAGTGTAAAATGGGCCAAGTTCTTATCTTAGAGGTTGATGGTTGGATTTCACTTTTTACTTTATTAGGTTATAATATGGAGATGTAAAAAGGTGTTTAACATCTTATATGACAATTGTCAAGTGACAATATTACAATAACAATTGCATGGTATCAACTTGATTATGTCGCACATTCTTCTTCAATGTAACAAAAATAAAATCGAAAACAAGAAATTAACCTGAAAGAGGAATGGAATTGTCGGCAGGAAGCTGAATTTAAGTAATCCAATTCTAGTAAGAAAGTCATATTCAAACAACTGAACAAGTCGTTTGGTAGCAGGGAGTAAGACATTTTAACGATGAGTATTTTTTTTTTTTCTCTCTAGTTGTTGGTTGTTTGCATGATGAGGCTAGAGTAATATTATATGTTTGATGGCTTGTTGAGGAATACGTGTGTATATTAATATGATTAAATATTTGATTATAGACGTAGGTAGCTCTAAAAGTATGAATTATTAATGGATTTAATGACGTCAAAAAGGCAACCACCCCCTAGGCCCCGGCCCCGGCCCCCATTACCTAGCAGGTTGAGACATTTTTGATACTTGTTGGTGATAATCATATATAACTCATATCTTGTTTCTCTCTCTCATCACACACATCCATGCACATACTAATTCAAAATATTTAGTATTAACTTTGTATAACAATAATCTCAACAATCAACAAATCCTTGACCTTAAAATTTTGTGCAGGCCAATGTTGATGCTTAAAAGTCAACGTTAGGTAGCAAATTGTGAGGATAAAATCTGTAACTGATTAAAATGTACCGTGCGTGGTGCGTGCGATGCATTTTCGATTTTCTCTACATTCATTAACTAACTATGGAGTAGTATTAATATTTTCTGTTCCTCTTTCCTAATTCTGATTTATCACCAAAATATATATATATATATATATAAGTTAAATGAAAGTTTATCTTAATTACATATTGCATACATTAGTTAACTTAAAATATTTAGTTTTTACAATAACAAAATGAGGATACAGAGACAGGGATGCTCCTGGCATGCGTTTCTTTCTATGATATTCACGTATGCTACACACGAAGTTATGACTCTTGAGTTATCATTCATAGCGTAATACTTATTTAGTAAATAAAAAATATTGGATATCAGCCTCTATATATTATTAAACACATACATAAAAATATTTATAGAAATTTTTTCTTTGACGAGTGAATTTTTAGAATTTTTTATCTAATTTAGTTTTTATTAATTATAATTATTTATAAATTAAATTTTAATATTTTTAGTTAAATTATTAATAAATCAAAATAATATTATGCTATAATTTAAATTATTTATTGTAAATCTAATATATAATTTACATGTTGCTGTCAAAAAATATGATTTATATATTTAAAAGTATTTATTCACACAAATTTTAAATATGATTTATGATTTAATATTTTAAATACTTTTATGATTATCTATCAATTTGAATTAATGAAACGGAGTATTAAATAATTTTAATTTTTTTTAAAAAAATTACAAATTAAGAACTTTTAATTCAACAATTAAATTATTAAAATTTGATGTATAATATGAATTATTAAGTAAAATAAGTCTATGTATACTTACTTTTAGAGTAAGTAAATCCTTCCTCATATATTTTATATATTCAAACATGATTTTTTCACATAATGTATCATAAATTTTAATTATATATAATAAATATATAACTTGTACATGCAGTCAAATACTAGCTAGGACGGATCCAGGTTGAGAGTAGTGGGGGCACTTGCCCCCACTACTATTTCACACATACATATTTTTTATTTTAAAAAATAAAATAATATTTT